TCATGAAATATTTGCAGTGTGGTTCTTTTTCAAATTAAAGTTAAATAATTTAATTTCTATTGTTTCACTTTTTACATTAAGTATTGTTACGACAGCGAAAGTCACGTGACGCTAGTAACAAGTGATGAGTGTCTAGAAGATTCGCGAAGACACTAGCGTTTGCTAGACATGCGCTCTTATAGTATATAAGACCGGCGAGAATTGACGGCAGAGATACATAGATAATTGCAGACAGACAGAGACGGACAATTGAGTTAAGCGCGGTAGTAAAGTGCGTGAATCGTTGTGAATTATAGCGTGTGTTTAAGTAAAAGTGACTGTAGAAATTAAGTGTATTGCAAAGTTGTATTGAGAGGAAATAAACTAGTTTTATTTAAGAAAGGACTTGTGTCGCTGAAGTTTCATCGGAAATAAATGATACGGAAAATTAACAAACGAACAGAGACGTAACAGCATTATATCATTTTAAACCTTAAAGTTTTTTAAATTATTTCTTTCATTGTCTTTGCATTCATTATTTATTAGTTGTAGTATCTTGTATTTTTATATCACTGTTAAAGAGTATTTCTTGTATTTGAGCTTTACTCCGTTATTAAAGGGTTGTGTCATCTATGTGGTATGTAAATACTCTTCGGAACAAAGGAAAGTTAACATGCTTCTTGGCTATGGTACGAGCTTAAATATTATTGATTTTAAAGTTAATTTTGATTGTCAGTTTGTGGATAATCCAGAATCAGAGAAGTAAGAAAAAGTCTGATATGCAAGCATATTATATTATTCCTACGTGGTTTTAGTGATATAGGATTTAAATTATTTTCGTTTATATAGCCAGAAAACTGTTGAATTTGCCTTGTTATAGTTGCTTTGTTTTCTATATTAGATACTATTTACTGTGCTTGCAGGGATATTGCAGAAACTTAGCATATCCATTAAAAGACTTATTAACATATTGGGCTAGCCAAAAGGATTATGTCTGTCTGTTACAGTCAGTGAATGCTATGAGATAACAAGGGTTATGAAGAGATGCTGTCGACTGGACAAGTATATTTACCTGTTTAATTCAAGTAAACTTTCTTGTTTCAGTTCTAGGAGGAGATATTCCATTAAATACCACATTTTAAATCAACATATTGTTACGATAGCGGAAGTCACATGACCCTGGTAACACATGATGAGTTTCTAGAAGGATCAGGGAACATCACAAATAATCCAGTATTTGCTAGGTGCCCTCTATTTTAATATATAAGCCGGCAAATAAAGTGACGGCAATAATGGAATTGCAGACAGAGAGATATACAGACAGATAATCGAGTCAAGCTGTAAGTATAGTGCGTGAGTCGTTGTGAATTCTAGCGTGTGTTTAAGTTAAAGTGACTGTGGAAATTAAGTGTATTGCAAAGTTGTATTGAGAAAGAATAAACTAGTTTTATTTAAGAAAGGACTGGAGTTTCTTGGGAAGAATTTCTACGGGAAATTAACAAAAGAACAGAGACGTAACAATATTTTAGTTCTGTGGAGGTCAATCATTAGAGAGTGAAAACTATGGGACTAAACAATGCCTAGTAGGTAATTGACTGTGATACTATCAATAAAAATGTGTATGCTGCATTTCCTTTTTTGTTTCATAGTATATACTGTTTTTTTTTTCATTAAAAAATTGTCCAGTTTCATTAGTTCACACATTATAAAAATCAGTCAAGCTTTCAAATATAGACTGATACAGAAATTTCCTTGTCGACCCTGCTGTTATTAGTGGATCTACCTATCTGATACTTATGCAGAAATCAATTCACTTGACAATATCACAGTTGAACATAATGTCGGAACGTGTTCTATCGTTGGGCAGGTCCTTTGGATTATTTGTTTAAAATCATGTGAAGCCCACTTCATATAACTTTAACGAATTAATTACTTCTTTTTCTTCAATAAAGTTTTATACAGGCTACATGCTATGTTGATTGGTAGGCCAACTTCACAAGCAGCATTTCAACAGAAATTCCGAAGCTATACACCTAACTCACAAATAAAGCTTAAGTCATTTTCTTGAAAGAATTCCTCACTAATCAATCAATAACAAACATGCTGACTAGCTAACTGAATTAATTACAGAAAGAAAAAGACCCAATAAGTTTCACTGTCTAATTCGCTCACTGACATTGAACTGGTTATTAACCCAACTTACTCAGCCTGCCTTTTTTATATTGTATGAGTCTTCTAAATAGTAAAAGAAGCTTTGAGATCCTACAAACACCTAAACTATTAGACTGCAACAACCATTACATCAGGTAAAAAAAAATCGAGAAAACAAAATCATTTAATTAAGAAAAATATTGCCACAACAACACTACAGCATTAACCGTGAGGGCACCTAACTGAAGAAACAATGCATTTTAGTATTTATAAATAAGAACGTAAGAAAAGTATATTTAATTAGCCATACTTAGTACTAGGCTGATTTTAAGTTTCACTCGAAATAAGTTGTTTTCTCTAATGAGAATTTAGTATTGATGTAGAAATGGACAGTGTTCTTTTCAATTGGCCAGTCAGTTTATACCTAGAGGATGCAACCCTTCCCACCCAGCCCCCTTATGTTGCAATGGAAATACTGTTACGACAGCGGAAGTCACGTGACTCTGGTAACACGTAATAAGTTCTAGAAAGCTCGGGGAACATCACGAATAATCCAGTATTTGCTAGGCGCCCTCTATTCTTGTATATATGTGCGCCAGACAATAAATCGGAATAATAGAGAATTGCAGACAGGCAGAGATAGAGACGGACAATTGAGTCAAGCGCGGTAGTAAGTAAAGTACGTGAATCGTTCGTTGTGAATTATAGCATGTGTTTAAGTTAAGGTTAACTGGAAATTAAGTGTATTGCAGGGTTGAATTAAAAAGAAATAAACTGGTTTTATTTAGGAAGGGACTTGTATCGCTGAAGTTTCTCGGAAAGAATTTCTACGAAAAAAATTAACAATCGAACATAGACGTAACAATTACGTGGGTGTTTATTTTATCTTTGTCATCCATAGAGCAGAGAAAATATAGCATTATATACACAAAACAACGATAACATTCTCCTTAGGAACCGTACACTACTAAACTGCCTAAAGTGGCTCTTCAGATGAAAGTTTTGGAACTCTAATCTACAACAGTAGTTCATTTGGAAAGGATGACGTTTCGAAAGACTTTCATCTTTCGTTTTCAGATCAACTTGCGGTTTTTTCAGGGATTTTATGTTGTATCTGAAGATACTGAATTAGATGTGACGTGATTGGCTGGTGGTTTTTGTTATATTTGGTTGAATGATTGATGATTTGACTAATGGCAGCCACAAGTTGCTGATTTCGAGGCCTGATTCCCTGTTTAACGATGGTTTGTCATGTTGATGTAGAGAGATTCTTAGATTTTTTTTTTTTTTCATAAGTTATCTGAGTTTATTTGCTCCAGTCTATTTTATATCTAGTCAACAACAAATGTTCAGTTAAGGCATAATTCTGTATTTGCATTAGTTTTATGCAATTTTTTATGTAATATTATCCTTCCCACAAAGTGTCTTTCAATTTCTTCCATGTACGTTTGTTTACAGGATCACGGTATTGCAAAAATGACGTTTTTTGTCGTTGTAGACATATGTTCCTTGTTTAGTATGGACAAAATCAAATCAAGTTGTTCTGTAAGATCTGTAGCACATATTACTTGTGAACTTTCTTCCTACTCGTTTGATATTCTCCCAAAGTTTTGCACATACAGGAGGGGGTATATAGTATTGGACTTGTCTTTCTTGTCTCTTGCACCACTTTATGTTTTTATGTTATTCATGCTATTGCTTATGAAATTAAAATGGTCCGTTCTGTTAAAAATACTGTACGATGGGTCGGTGTTTGGTTTTGATGGAGTTTTTGTTGCAGGTGTTTTCAGCTCTGATGTTCAAGCACATAACGATAATGCGTTTAACAAATAGCGGATGATAAGAACGGAAATGCAAGTATCTATCAGTATGAGTTGGGTTCTTGTATATGATTGTGGTGAGTTTATCATTGTGTCTTCTGATAAAAATATCAAAGAGCGGTGAAGTAGATTCTGCTGTCTTTGGAGTTAAGATATTGTAAGAAGACTGATAAGTTTTATAACTATGAGGCCAAATAACAAATACTGCCATCAACAAATCACGATACGTTCACAGCAATATTCCTGGATACCATATAAAACCCTGCAAAAGCCAGTGCAAGCTGACCTGAAGATGAAAAACGAAAGTCTTTCGAAACGTTGTCCTTTCCACCTGAGTTACTTTTATGGATTAGTCCTACAAGACTTTCTTTTCAAGTGTTACTCTGAAATAGGCGGCTGCTACCCATTTCAATTTTCTTTGTTCGTTATGCAAACTCTACCTAATTCATTAGCCCTGCAGACCTCCAGTAAAGGTGCCATTCTGAGAATACCACACAATGACGAGCAACACTAATCAGCAAAATAAAAGCTAAGCAGTAAAACCTGCACTTTTTTTGCATTTTTTATCAGTTGTGTTGGAAGGAGTTACAAAGTGGAGGTGCTTGGCTAGACATGCAGAATGTACAATGAGAGATTGAAAGTATAAGGAGCTGATAAAAGCAGTTCCCGTGCTGCCAAAGGCAGCTCACTCTAGAGGGGTTGGGGGGTATACCTCCAGAAAATTAGTAATATAATTTTCAATGGATATATAAGTCTAACATGTAAAAGTGGGGGGTGTTACAGAACCCTCGGTTCCGGCGCCTCTGTTTTTGATAAAGAATTTTGAAATGCTGTGACTAACTTTTGATCGCGACATTATTTGTAAATCTTGTACTAATAATATTAATCAAACATTCTGGACGTTTGGCCCCGTAATTTATAGTCTAGAAAATTCGTTACCAATATAATCAATATAATATTATTTTGTATAGTTGTGAGTCTGAAAATATTTGCTACATACCCTAGTGATACCGTTTTGAAGTACTCGGCAATTCAATATAATAACACACATTTAAGGAGAAAATGGCGTCGGCTCTAGGTAGGAGAATTGTACAAAATGAAGATCTTTCTAATGTTGAATTCGAAACAAGTGAAGATGTTGAAGTTATTTCAGCATTTGACAATATGGGACTACGAGAAGATCTTTTAAGGGGGATTTATGCTTATGGTAAGTCTGCAACTTAAATAATGTTTTAGTAAATTAAACACTCCCAGTGACCGTGGACTTTCTAATTCTGTTCTAGTTTTCTACGCATACATACATAGGTTAAGCCTAACAGTAATATTATTACTAATATTACGTTAGGCCTCATGACTTGATTGTTATTTGGCGATAGACGCATGCAGATGATGGATGATGCTGGTTAATACTACTCTAGTATGAGTGAAGTAATGTTATTTATTATATATGGAGTTTTGAGTCCGTTTTACTTCACCATATACTGATATAGTCACCTAAATTAATTTAGGTTTGTCAATAATGTTATGACATTTCGTCGAAATTATTATTCGATGTATTATACAATAGACCAACTATTTAATGGTTGTATATATATATTAAAGATTTTTTTTTCACCAGAGGTGAAATTGAAAAGAGAATCTATGATGCAGAGGTCTAATACTTGAGGTGGCATGACGACAATTATAAGATTTTGCCTGGTAACAAGATTGCCATCTTGTAAAAGGGGCAAACAATAATGAAACGAGTACAGCTGCATGTATGCAATATATATATATAGGTATACCTTATATACACGTTACAGCTGAAGTTGATGCACAAATTCTTCAATTATCATTCATATATTATTGATTGATAATCAAATTATCAATTAAAATGTCTTATTAATTATTTCAACATGGGCTCAGTCCCTGGGACTGAGTCGTGTGACCTTCTATACTCGTTTAAAGTTGACATAAATTTAATACTTATAACTAGGCTTACCATAATTTTCAGAGTTGAAACCGGGATGCAAGGTCTGAAGAGCCGCAACGTATGAGTTGGGTATTTGTGGAGAGCGAGCCTACTCTTCCCACCAGTTAGGGAATATGGGAAAGTTTTTACTACAAATATATTAACATACTTGCATGTTTTCTTCTTATATGAAGGCAGTTCTTGGCAAGTGCCGAAGTGATACGTGTGAGCTGGCAAGATGTACGATTCATCTTTTCACTTAGAAGGAACCCTGAGAGTCGATGTTAAGAGACAGGGAACAGAAACAGAAGACATACAAAGCAGCTGTGCTTTGCTTGACAGCACATGCATGTAAAATAGAACAGTGACATTTAGAAATAAATTAAACTAAACACGTTTTTATTGTCAAGTACTATTTTATTCAGTCACCAGTATTTTCACATTTTTCACTTGAAACTACTTTTCTAAGAAATACCTTGTTCTTTTTAATTTTGTCAAAAAACTCTGAGCAGCTCAGTGGGAAATTTATTTTAGTCATCAGAAGACCCCTGACTGTAGTTTCTAGCATATTGCCCCTCTCTTCTGACCACACACATTATTTATTACAGAAAACACTCGTTCAACTAGTGCAGAAGTACCAGGAAGACAAAGAATGTATTGTACTACAGCACTAAGATTTTTTACTAATAAGTGTCTTTCTTTGCAATGAGCAAAAAAGTATTGCCACTTTTCCTCATACTTAAAGTTTTGCATTGCCCAAATTTCTGTCTTAGAAGCCCAAAAGCTCTTTACAATAACAACCTCATCAAATAATTGATCATTGTTTACTGGGCCATGATATGTCTCCAGAATTTAACCACACCAAGTCTTCTGCCTGACCAAAACTCTTTCCATAAGTCCAGGTATGAGATACATTTTTCATAAAATCTTTTAAATTCTGTCATCACTTTTTCAATGATTTCACCATTTTCTTCAAGTTTTCTCAGCAAGACCTTTGCTCCTTGAGGTACAAATTCACAGTTTTTTCATTCTTCTATATTTGTAATCAGGGTTTGCATTTCTAGTTTGATGTCTGCTGCACTGCCATTGTCTTTCTCCATGACCAAAATCACTTTGGCTGAGCTATCCATGTACAAATCATAAATACATTTCTCCACAATCATTTTCAAAGAATTGTTTTATCAATCTCGGGCAGTGTTCTTGGGAACAAAAGTAGAATTTCAAGCCATCAAAAATGTAAAGAATTCTTTCAACTGCTGGTAGCATTGACAAAAAACTGGTATTACCATATTGTAATAGCTTTTTGTATTCCACTCCGGCAAAGTCACAAAATTCCTTTAGCTTTGTATATGTGAAAATATTTGAAAATTTTCACAATAAGTGCTTCGGTATCAATTAGTAACACATAAGCATCTGTTTGGAGACAGTTGTGCACAATGTGTGCACGACAGCCAATGCCAACAAGGTCCTTTCCAAGTTTGGTTTTTAATCAGCTGAAGATGTTCTTACCTTTTCTTTTTACGCCACCAAAATTTGTGTTACAGTTGTCTCCACAAAATCCAACAGCTTTTTCCTTCAACCCGTGTTTGTCAATTACTGAGACTAAGGCATCAGTCAAGATCTCAGCTGTCTCACCTGGAACATTGTATATACCCAAGAATTTGACTTGTACCCCCTGGCCAGGAATGCAGTATCGAATCATGAAAGGTATCATTTTAACATCGTTTCGGTTCGAAGCTTCCATTGAAATTGTCACAAAGTTTGCCTCTGCTAGGTTTTTAGCAAGCTCAGATCTAGCCATTGGTGCAATTACATTCAAAATCATGACTTCACATTTTGTTCTCACTAGATGAAATTTTGGCTCAAAGAGTTTTGAAACCAACTTTGATGAACAGTCGGATGTCTTGAAACTCAAATTATGAGAAACTGTATGAAAAGCAAAAGTGGCTTCTTTAGCGGCAACAAGAAGCTCCAATTCAGTTGTTTCTTACCTTTTTAAAAAAGTATTTAATTGTAACGAACTAGCAGCTGAAGCAATACTCGCCTTGTGCCTTTGAGATTGCAAATGGTCTTTCATATCCAATCTATCTCCATGCACCACAGAGAACTCTGCAAAACATTGATCACATTTTACCCTGTCCACACAAAGCTTTTTTAGAAAAGGATAATCCTTCTCGAGTTCTTTGGTAAATGTGCATGCTCTTTTCAGCATTGTAAAAGTAAATTGGCCACTGATTTATATAAATGGATTGGACATTGCTATTGGCTGACAGCAGAGCCGGCATGCACGGGCAGGTGCCATTAACATGTGTGTTGATTTAAACATAAACAAATGCATGTGGCATAATGCAAAGCTTAAAACTTGCCAGTCTTTACAAATAGAATTTTAGCCTAGTTATATTAAATATGCTATCTGATTACCACCAAAGTTCTGATATTAATGTATACGAGACAATCTTACATTTTCAGACAGGTCAAATTAATTTTTAGTAAACTGTGATTAGAATCTGAACAGAATTTCAAACCATCCGAGACAACGTTGCTAAACCGAGATGTATGGTAACCCTACTTATAACTTTCTAAATATAGAGTATATCTTCACAAATTTTGGCAGTCTTTCAGTTAATATTACAAGTCCTTCACATACAAAAAGTCATATTTCTTAGTAAAGTACTTTTAATAAAATAAAATAAAGTTTTGTCCATGAATATATTGAGTATTTGTTTTGAATAGTCCATGTGCAAACTGATTTTCATGTTAAAATTAAAAATACTTTTTGCCATTTCAAAAAATCTCAAATTTCCTTTGTGTGATTCCTAAAACCTCTTAAATGCATTTCAAAAAGTTTTTTTTCACTAAATCCTTATAGTTTATATGTTATTTTCTCTACCCTAATTTCAGAACAGGATTGGTCAGTTCGACCGGCCTCATAACCACCAAAAAAAATCGAAATAAACCTAAATTAACATTCAATTCTTTCTAGAATGACTTCAGATTTTAACATGAAACTACATTCGTTTATCCTAAGTAGCTCTAAGTTCGTAACATTATACATCTACTTATAATTAAATTTTATTATTTTATTGCCCTTTGAACTGTGTCTAACTCCTATCCGCACCATTATAAGTTGTAAATCAGTCAAGGAACTTGCAGCTCACGTTACACCATTGAATTACATCACCCACTAGCTGCTCACGTGCGTGCGACATGAACAATTTTAAGTATATTATTATTATTGCTTATTTTACCTATTTTAGTCTTAAATAACTTAAGATCCGTACTTTTAATTTTAGTTACTTTATGATAATAAATAAAGAATAA